TCAGACAGGTGTCACTGGCCAATACTCCCACGGTTCCTGGCCCTTGTCACGCCGCTAACACTTCACACCTGTCTGGGCTCCACACCTGACACCCCTCCAAAACTGACACGCCTCAATACGTGACTGAGACACCTCAACGCCTGACACACCAGACACACATCTCCAGAGCGGACATGCCTGACCCTATAAGTCATCTGTAACACTCCCCATGAATAACGTGCGGATCTGTAACCCAGTACCCGAGTCACAACCGAAAGGTCCCGGGTTCAATTCCCGCAGCAGGACAGAAACCTATTGGGCAACTTATCCTTTCGTCTGATGCTTCTGTTCACCTGTCAGTATATAGAGGTACCCTGGAGTTGAAGTGTTGTGGGTTGTATCCTGGAGGAAAGCGTTTGTGGAAAATTTCCACCAGAAATAGAATATAACATGTCTGCTATCACCATACACAACTAAGTTTGCAGTTATCATTCTTTTTTGTTTAGTATTTAGATCTTTTAATTGTAGTATTTTGTATTAAGTGAGTCAATAAATCCCTCAGCGTGGGCCCGTGCCTAGAGGGACCTTAAAAAGCCTAAATCATCATACTGGCTTTGCGCTTTACCCTAATCTTATCAATAGGCCAAACGGGTTTCGTTTCCCCGATTATTAGAAACCACCAACCAAGCCGTCGGCTTCCTGCCCCCGTGGAGGCCATTAGAGATGATGGCCCTCAGGCAAATTCCTGGTGTTCACACCTGAAACCTCCACATCTGAACCCCTTGACACTCACTATCAACCTCTGAAGGATTACTGGGGTCTTGCATCCTCTTGAAGGTTACTGATCAACCTCTGAAGGGTTATTAAGGTCTATCACCCTCTGGAGAGTTATTAGTCCTATCAAATTCTGGAGAGCTATTAAAGCCTATCAACCTCTGGAGAGTTATTAAATCCACGACAACAGCTTACTGGCGAACCAGCAAGTATACCTTAGTCCTGAACATAGTCTAGGACCAAAGTAAACTCTGAGTGTGTATGGACCGAGAAGCGGGATACTCGTCTCGGTGTACAATGACTGGTCTAATGTTGGGCTTAACGCCAGTCAACCTGTGGAAGGTTATTAATGCAACACAACAGTTTACTGATCAACCAGCAAGTATAGTACATCCCCAAACATAGTCCAGGAGTAAAGTAAATGCAGTATATTATATATATATATATATATATATATATATATATATATATATATATATATATATATATATATATATATACATTCCTTCACTAATAATAATAATAATAATAATAATAATAATAATAATAGCTGTTTGACTTTACTGTAACATAGAGAACAGGTTGTTTAATAAAAATATGTCAGGTGCCACATATCAAGGCGGCATGAATCACAGTCACTGAAAGGGGGTGTATAGACCAGGTGTGATCTATATATATATATATATATATATATATATATATATATATATATATATATATATATATATATATATATATATATATATATATATATATATATATCCTACTATTCAATCACAATCAATCCTACTATTATCAAAATCCATCCGGTGATTAAAATCCCGGTAATGGTTAGCAATGGCATTATTCCTAACCAATTTTGTTAATGTTTTTTTGTGTCCATAAATTTTATTCAATAAGCCAACGATCAATCTCTCCAACATATGATAAATTGTAATCGTTACAATTGATCATATAAACACCATTACCTACATTTGTTCTTATTATTTTTACCATTTTATCAGCGTTACCACTGGGGTGGAGGCACGTTACCTCTCCCCAATTACCTACGCTAACGCCAACCACAACGTTATTAACAGTACCACCACTCTCATCTTTATTGGTATTATTGTTATTGAATTTGTTGTTGAGTCTTTCCTTCCCCTTTATTCAAGCACTACGACATTTGAAGTATTATTCTCCCCTAATATTATTGTCATTTTTATAATTCATTATATTAAATTGTTATAATAATTATATTATAATTTGATAATATAATTATTATAAATTATAATATGAAATAATTTAATCATTATTATTATATTTTGTTACTTTTTTAACTTTTATAACTTGATTTTTAAATTATATTATAAGATTTAAACGACAGCCAATTATAAAGGCAAATTAACAGGAATCTATACAAAACAAAGAAACTAACAATTTTCAATAATATAGTTATCATTTACCCTCATATACTCAGTGACACCCATGAGAATCTCCACTCAGTGCTGGAAATAAGTTTTGAGTGTGGAGTCTCTCCAGTCTCTTAGATTCAGTCTCCACCTGTCCGTCGAATATCACACTGGACTGTGCCTCTTAGGCCAGCCATCTTTATACAAAATCACTGGTACTTGTCTTCTACTCCCAGACACGGTACTGTCCTTTACTCAAGTCACTGCTTATCCTTGTTGTGACCTTAAGTGGTTGGGCATTGTCGTGTAAGCGTTGATGACTGGCCGAGCTTATCGAGCTACAGGCAGGAGGAATTTAATGATGAGGACAAAGCTTCCGTAGTCTTCGACACAGACAGGTTCCGGAACCTATACATCAATCGATTAATTAAGGGTTGAGAGACGGGACTCAGGAGCTATAGCTCAGTACCCCGCAAGTATAACTAGGTGACTACTAACAGCAGCGACCTCACTACAGCACGTGAGGCTGTTTATAATACCTTGTAGGAATTGTGACAAAATATATATAGGATAAACATTTAGAAACTTGGCTATCAGGATTTGTAAACATTTGCGATGGTGTTGTGTTGATAAGGCCAACACCACACGTTACTCAGGAGCCACATGCCGTACCTCATACCTTATTGTATGCTAAACTCATCATCAAACAAAATAAAGATTAGAAAGCAGTATTGATACTGCAACCATCAACACAATTCAACAGTCAGTTACATTTTAATATTACAATAATACTTCACACTGTGAGAAAAGATTTACGTTATCTCTATTTGGTGTTTCTTGACATTAATGGTCATGTTCTCACAGTATTTTTCTCAACGATATTGCCGCTAATTGTTGCTCTATTATAATATACGACAAGTGCTCTACAACCACAGTTCTACGACCCGTGATCTACGATCAATGTTCAACTATCTTGGCTCTACGATCTGCGTCCTACTTCGATTATTCTAACATCAGTGATCTATTACCAGTGCTTACCTAATAGAGACTAGGCTGTGAGCTCCAGCGTTTCATGCCCCCACCAACTAGCCTTCTTATATGTGTTGTGTTGTAATTCAACTTTCCTAATGTGAGAATTCTTTGTCGAATTTGGCCTTAAGGTTGTGAATGAAGGAGGCTTTCATGGTTTCTTCTTTTAGAGCATTCATTCCCTTTGTTGACTTCCCGTATAGAGTACAAGTACTTTCTTTCGACTCATTTGCGTTTCCAGCTTCCACCTATGATCTCTTGTCTTACTCTATTTCACTTTAATAAAGCTGTCCTTGTTTACCATGTCTTTTCTCCAGAGTATCTTGAATGTTGTGATTATATCCTTTATGTGCCTTCACTCCTCTAAGGTTGTGAGATTTAGCTACTTCACCCTATCTTCGTGCCTTAACCTTCTTCGTTCTGGCACTAATCTTGTTGCAAACCTCTGTATTTTTTTAAATTTTGGTTTTGTAGCCAATCCTGGATTTCATTTTGGTCTTCCTATAATTTTCCTGTAGTCCTCCTCTGTTTTTACATTCATTAAACTTTGCTTAATCGGAAACCATCGATACGTACAAGTTCACTCCCCTCGGGCAGGCCAGTCACATATATTAGGAGCAGCAGTTATCCTTGTACCGGGCCTCGGGGGACGCCATTCGCTACACTCCTCCAGCTCGATTCCCCCTTTGCCAAGGGGAATCGAGTCACAGACAGTCACAGTCACAGGTAATCAACAGTCACAGACTGTGACTGTTTTCTTCTCTTCAGATACTCCCTTGCACAGTTAAGTGTGTTCCCACTTATCTCGGCTTGTTTTTTCCATGTTATACACCGTCCTGTCATGAGAAGCAGTATAATCAACGAAGCCCTTCACTGAGAATATCCTTCATTGTCCTTCATACTTCCTGTGCTACAGTCCCTTCCTCTTCCATTGTCTTTATTCTACAGCCAGCGCTCTACGACCAGCGCTCTACGACCAGCGCTCTACGACCAGCGCTCTACAACCAGTGTTCTACAACATTTGCTCTCTACGACCAGTGCTCAACGACCAGTGATCTACGACTTCTCATCTACCAGTGTTCTACGACCAGGGCTTTATGACCAGTGTTTTACGACATTTTCTCTTGTTCTACCAGTGTTCTATGACCAGGGCTCTACGACCAGTGCTCTACGACCTGTTCTATACTACCAATGTTCTACTACCAAGTGGTTAACAAGTGGAATGCACTAAAATAAGTCGCGGAAACCACCTTAATTCAAAACGTCAAGCCAGATACGATAAAGAACTCGAACTATAGTAACGTTAAAAACAAAACCCATGGACATGTACACTAAGGCAGGCAGACAGGTCATAATGAGCCAGACTTCACTCCCCCGTAGTTACTGATAGGTAAGCAGCAATAGGTACTCATCTGGACTTACCTATAAGTTGTTAATGAGAAGTGAGGTCTAGCTCTTTAATGCCCCCCGCCCACTATTCTTGCGGAACATGTTGGGTTATATTTGGAACCATTCAGACATTCGAATTCTTTGTCGAATCTGGCCTCAAAGTTATGGATGGAGGTGGCTTCCACAACTTTTTTCACTGTATTCTACTTGCTAACTACCTGTACAGAGGTACGAGGGTTTCCTTACAGTGCTCAATGGCCAGTGAGCTACGACCACAGCTCTATCACTAGTGACTTTGCATTAACTAATTTAGTTTTCTTTTTTAAATTATACACTTAAATTATATCACTTCTCCCATTTTTTGCAACACAAAAATATCATATTATTAAAAGCTATCTTACCACGTTCCAGGAATCGACTTATGACAAACAGACTCACTTGATTTCAGTGTTAGTTTCTGTTAGCAGTTAGCTTCTATTCTTCAGTCTCCTGACCACAGACGGTGGCCCCTGCTAGCGGACCTGGAACAAGGAGCCAGGAAGGTCGGCAAGTAATCTTGCTGTTGACTCTGGGATCAATATAGAGCCAGATGGTTTTTAAGAAGGGGCGTCCACTTGGTGACTCTCGGACCAATTCCGAGGCAATAAACAGATAGGGCTCCTTTTATCTTGAGACGTAGTGCAGACCCAGGAAGATCTTCTGGAGAAGTTAGAACCAGTTTTGCGCCAAATAGTTAAGCGAATAGGTTACATGTTCTTCACTGTGGCCAATTCTGTACAAACTCTTGGCGACAACAGCAGCTCTTCCCAGCCACAGAGTCAAGTAGATAGGTCACCTGTAGTAATGACCTACAGAATAGGTAGGTCTCTTGGCGACCCTGTGGCCGGTTCAGTGTCAAACAAATCACTTGTCCCTAGGACCTAGTATCGATTCAAGTATGTCCCTGAAACCCTTGGTCATTGTGGGCTTATTCAGCTCTCTGAAACCAAACAGCTTTAACAACAAAATGTTAATTGAAACCACTGACCGATTGGATGATTCCTTGTTGGGGTATAGCTTTTGTGCTTGATTAACTTCTAATAGGTTTTCCAATAATATTACACCACTAGGAACAGTAAGCAGTAATAAGAATCTCTCACAGAGACCCGGCCGATGGACGGAGACGTCGTGGTCGTCACGTCCACCGCTCGTACGGACGCTGATGACAAGAGAGTCTCATCCTGAAGAATTTGGCTTCCAAAAAATGGTTTTCGCGCTCGTTTTCGCCCCCGTCCTCGAAGTCGGGAGTCCTGTATATAGGTCCTGGCTCACACCGTTTGTTCTCCTTTTTTGTGTTTTGTGTCCAAACGAGGAGGAGCGCCGGACTGGACTGGACAGTGCCAGAGGAGGGGCCGACGAGGGGGGGGAAAGGGGGTGAGGAGTGGGTGCAGGGAAGAAAGGAGGGGGGGTAATAGGGGGGTGCCTCTTGAGCCACCTGCGCGCCGCACGAGGTGAGGGGACCAACTGACTCACTCCTCCTCCATCTCCTGTGCTTCCTCCTCCTCCTCCTCCCCTTCCCTTCCCCCTCCCCTCTTCCCCTACCGGCGGCTGCGGCGACCTGGTCCGACTCGCGGGTCTACATGGCTGCGCGGTGACGTGTACAGTGCCATCGTAACTGCGCACCGAGAATGGTGTAAAAGAGGGATGAGAGTAGCGGCAACTGCGCGTCGGCTGCGCAGCACTGTGTTGTCTGCCTTGATCTGTGGGAACTGCTGACTGGGTTATATATATATAGTATAGGTGCAATTCTAGGGACCCACAGCCTCGAAGAAAATAAAGAGTACTCAGAGAAGACCTTGTGAATTGTAACTTGCTTAGCTAAATGAATTGTGGGGTTCAGTCCCTGAGCCCATTATGTGCATCTGTAACCATTTCCACTACCGCCCACAAGATGGGTATGGGGTGCATAATAAATGAACTAAACTACCATTCCTTCTGAAGATGTATTAATATACGAAAGTACTTAAGGAAATTCCTGTTTCAGTTCTTCCTTCGTGGTCTGACACTGTCAGTTTTTCATCACGTGTTAATCTTCGTGATTTACACACACACACACACACACACACATTATATATATATATATATATATATATATATATATATATATATATATATATATATATATATATATATATATATATAAATGGCATTATATATATATATATATATATATAATGCCATTTATATATATATATATATATATATATATATATATATATATATATATATATATATATATATATATATATATATATATATATATATATATATATACCTGGCACAGGAGCGTGCATGCCATTTTTCTGTAATGTTGTATAAAAAATATATAGAGAAAATATCGTATCACTAAGGGAAGAGAGAGAGAGAGGCAGGGGGATGGAGGGAGGGGGGATGGTACTAGCGTGTGTTGGCATATACAGGCATACGTGCATATACAAATTCATACACACCTATTCGCTTGCCAAATGTAGTATCTACATGAGGCCTTCATCACATCTTATCCTCCTCATACACATTCGCACATATCTGGTCCATATAATTAGTACACATCCTCGTAGTACGTTATTGTGTAAATCATTACATTATTATTATTTGTAAATAGTGCTTGAGGAGTGAGCATATTTCCTCCTCCCTGGCCGTTACTGAGCACCGGGTCACTGCTCACAGACTGATAACTCAAGACTATCTTACCGTACCGTCCCGTACCGTACCGTACTGTATCTTACCGTACCGTACAGTACCGTACCGTATCTTACCGTACCGTAGCTCATTATAGTAAACATAAGCGTTAATTTTTATCCGCTTCCAACACTTGGCAGTTTGGCTGTGTGTGTGTGTGTGGGTGTGTGTGTGTGTGTGTGTGTGTGTGTGTGTGTGTGTGTGTGTGTGTGTGTGTGTGTGTGTGTGTGTGTGTGTGTGTCCTTCAGGTGCTTTATCGTATTCCTTGACGATGGATGATGAGATTTATGATGAACGAGTCCGCTAAGTTCTGGATGGAAACCAGTTTACGTCAGTCCATCCTCATCTCTGCTCTTGGCTCAGTGTTGGGCTTCAACCAGTCAGCCGCGGAAAGGTTGACAATACCATACTGACCAACCAGTAAGTTTACTTTCGTCCTATATATACTTGAAATAAACTGTATGTATATATATTATATATAGAACGATTAGAACGTGCTTGTGGTGCATCTAATTCGATGAGATCCTGAAGCTATGGAACGCCCGTTTCTGTTCGGGATCGTAGATTCCGACTCCTTACAACTCTCATTAAATCGATCATTGAATACTCACCTCTGATTTGAGATTCCTGACCACAACCCGAGCACATCTCCTGTGCCAGGTAAGTACGACGGGGGCTCACCATAGCCCGTGCTACTTGCCCCGCTCCTGTGCCAGGTAAGTTACGGGCTCACCATAGCCCGTGCTACTTGGAACTTGTTGTTCCGAGTAGCTGAATCTATAACAACAATAACAACTGGTCATGCTCATACACCTGAAGCTGTTTGATGAGACCAAAGATAGGTCCATACATCCTGTGAGGAGGAAGTTTAATGTCTTAGAATCACCGTCATTCTTCCAGACAACCTCAACTAAACACAAATTTCGTCTGGAATAAAAAATACGATTAATTTCTAAGCATCCGTGTGCTTACATCAGTTGCCTCCTCTCCTAGCTTGCATCATGTTGTTACACACACACGCGCATACACACACACGCACACACACACATACACACACACGCACGCACGCACACGCGCGCACACACACACACACACATACACACACACACACACGCACACACACACGCACACACACACACATAAACACACACACACACCTGACTGGGGGCTTGATAGCTGAGAGGACAGCGCTCTGGGCTCGTAATCCTAGGGTCCGGGTCCGATCACCGGTGATGAAAGAAACAAAATGGGCAGAGTTTCTTTCACCCTGATGCCCCTCTTACCTAGCAGTAAATAGGTACCCAGGAGTTTGACAGCTGTTACGGGCTGCTTCCTGTGCGTGAGTGTGTGTACTCACCTAGTTGTACTCACCTAGTTGTGCTTGCGGGGGTTGAGCTCTGGCTCTTTGGTCCCGCCTCTCAACTGTCAATCAACTGGTGTACAGATTCCTGAGCCTACTGGGCTATATCATATCTACATTTGAAACTGTGTATGGAGTTAGCCTCCACCACATCACTGCCTAATGCATTCCACCTGTTAACTACTCTGACACTGAAAATGTTCTTTCTAACATACTTGTGGCTCATTTGGGTACTTAGTTTCCACCTGTGTCCCCTTGTTCGAGTACCCCCGCGTGTTAAACAATTTATCTGTATCTACCCTGTCGATTCCTCTTAGAATTTTGAAGGCAGGGATCATGTCTCCCCGAGCTTTCCTGTCTTCCAGCGACGTTAGATTCATTTCATGCAACCTTTCCTCGTAACTCATGCCTCTTAGTTCTGGGACTAGCCTATTGGCATACCTTTGAACTTTTTCCAGCTTCGTCTTGTGCTTGACAAGATACGGGCTCCATGCTGGGGTCGCGTACTCCAGGATTGGTCTTACATACGTGGTATACAAGGTTCTAAATGATTCTTTACTCAGGTTCCTGAAGGCAGTTCTGATGTTATCCAGCCTCGCATACACCGCCGATGTTATTCTTTTGATGTGGGCTTCAGGAGACAGGTTTGGTGTGATATCAACTCCTAGATCTTTCTCTCTGTCCGTTTCATAGAGGACTTCATCTCCCATTCGGTATCCTGTTTCTACTGCCTAGTTTCATTACCTTACATTTGCTCGGGTTGAACTGTAGCAGCCATCTGTTGGATCATTCATTCAGTTTATCTAGATCATCTTGTAGCCTCATACTACATACTACACAAAGGACTAGTGCACAAGTTGGAGATGCAGGCGGGAGTGAAAGGGAAGGTACTCCATTGAATAAGGGAGTACCTGAACAACAAAAGACAGCGAGTCACCGTGAGGGCTGAGGTCTCAGATTGGCGAGGCGTCTCCAGTGGAGTCCCGCAGGGTTCAGTCCTTGGACCTATACTGTTTCTGATATATGTAAATGATCTCCCAGAGGGTATAGAATCGTTCCTCTCATTGTTTGCTGATGACGCAAAAATTACGAGGAGGATTAAGGCGGAGGAAGATAGTATAAGGTTACAAGAGGACCTAAACAAACTGAATGAATGGACCAACAAATGGCTACTAAAGTTCAACCCAAGTAAATGTAAAGTAATGAAACTAGGCGGTGGAAACAGGAGCCCAGACACAGGATACCTAATGGGCGATGAAGTCCTTCGTGAAACGGACAGAGAGAAAGATCTAGTTAATATCACGCCAAACCTGTCTCCTGAAGCCACATCAAAAGAATAACATCAGCGGCGTATGCAGGGCTGGCTAACATCAGGACTGCCTTCAGGAACCTGTGTAAGGAATCTTTCAGAGCCTTTTATACCACCTATGTAAGACCAATCTTGGAGTATGCGGCCCCAGCATGGAGCCCGTACCTTGTCAAGCACAAGACGAAGCTGGAAATACCTCAGCGGTATGCCACTAGGCTAGTCCCAGAACTAAGAGGCATGAATTACTAGGAAAGGTTGCGTGAAGTGCACCTCACATCGCTGGAAGACAGGAGAGATCGGGAAGACATGATCACTACCTACAAAATTCTCAGAGGAATTGACAAGGTAGATAAAGATAAACTGTTTAACACGGGTGGTACACGAACAAGGGGACACAGGTGGAAACAGAGTACCCAAGTGAACCACAGGGACGTTAGAAAGAAATTTTTTCAGAGTAGTTAACAAATTGAATGCATTAGGTAGTGATGTGGTGGAGGCTGACTCCATACTCAATTTCATGTGTTGATATGATAGAGCCCAATAGGCTCAGGAACCTGCATAACAGTTGACGGTTGAGAGGCAGGACCAAAGAGCTGAAGGTCAACCCCCGCAAGCACAATTAGGTGAGTACACAAACGCACACACACACACACACACACACACACACACACACACACACACACACACACACACACACACTAGAGAAAAGAAGGGAGAGAGGAGATATGATAGGGACATATAAAATACTCAGGGGAATTGACAAAGTGGAAATAGATGAAATGTTCACACGTAATAATAACAGAACGAGGGGACATGGGTGGAAACTGGAAACTCAGATAAGTCACAGAGATGTTAGGAAGTTTTCTTTTAGCGTGAGAGTAGTAGAAAAATGGAATGCACTTGGGGAACAGGTTGTGGAAGCAAATACTATTCATACTTTTAAAACTAGGTATGATAGGGAAATGGGACAGGAGTCATTGCTGTAAACAACCGATAGCTAGAAAGGCGGGATCCAAGAGTCAATGCTCGATCCTGCAAGCACATATAGGTGAGT